TATTCTGAAAATCTGACACCTCCAAGGGAGATAGACAGAGGTCTCTTATCACTGATAGGAACTCAAAATGAATCAAAAACCGTCCATGCCCATGCAAAACTATAAAGCTCTAAGACAACAGCATAAATGCAAATGCAGGGGATCGTAGGTTGTGCAGGGGCTGTGAATCATTTACTGTGTCTCCTCTAGCCGAAGTCTCTATCTCCCACGAAAGGACCTTTCCCTGCATGAGTCTGTTGTGAAGGTGGGAGAAGATACTGGCAGGATTCACCTGTGAGTAACTGCCAACAAGACTCCCTGGACTGGCATCCAGCCATGTATAAAATGAAGGGGGGGGGAGAGAAGAGGAGACAGAGGGAGGAGAGGAGAAAGGGAGGAGAAAGAGAGAGGAGACAGGGAGGAGGAGAGAGGGAGGAGGAGGAGGAGAGAGGGAGGAGGAGGAAGAGAGGGAGAGGAGAGGGAGGAGAAGGAGGAGACAGGGAGGAGGAGGAGAGAAGGGAGGAGGAGGATTCTCATTGCCAGCAAGAGCCAAGAGTGGAGCTCGCTCATCCTCTGGACCCTGAGATCCCAACACAGTGAACTCCTGGATCCAGATGACGGCTGGACCATCAGAGGAGCAGCGGCAGAACCAGGAGCCAGAGGACGGAACAAAGTGATGGACTTGCAACCCACAGAGTGAGTTAAAGATGGTGTTTTTGTGCAGGAGACTGGCTTGCAGACTGGGGTGCCTCTGGGCACTTCATTGGGGGGTAGTTCGAATCGCTGACCCACAGAAGTGGAGCTCAGTGCCTTTGAGCTGAGGCTTGCTGGAGAGAGGAGCCTCTGAATGCAGGGAGCTGGGTTTGCTGACACAACGGAGGTGGAGCTGATGCCTTCGGAGGGTTACAGCAGTGTGGGATGGGCCTTCGAGTAAATATTAGCAGGCCTGAAACTTTGTAGCATGTCCTGATAAATAACTACTCTTGAGCATTTCTCACTGGAGTTACAACTCTTTAACATCCTTAATAAACCCTTTAATCGTGAATTGTGTCTGTGCGTTTCTCTGTAGTCATTGCTATGGGCACTAGCAACTAGAAAACATTAATGCAACACAGGTCATTTGACTGGTTAGAAACACTGAAACCAGGGGGGTGCGGAAGGGGTGGAGAGTGGCTATGTGACGGGCAGGGTTGGTGGTCAACACGGAGCGCCCTGTTGAGGTAAACGGCGTGTACCTGACTGCTAACGTAAAGACATGTCGTTGGAACGACCAGACCAGACCAAACCAAACTCACTGCCCCCGAGGCGGCCCTCACAGTGAACCCCCGTTGGACAAGGCAAAGCGAACTGTGTGGGTGTCCCGGGCTGCACATCTTCATAGGACGAAAAAGCCTTGTCTTTCCCCACAGCTCCCCAACCATCACTGAAAGTAAGGAGCTGAGACTGCGTCCACAAAGACCACACCCCAGAAGAGAGGAGCCCACAGCTCGACTCTGCACTACCTGGGCCACCGTAGTCAGGACGGAGTCAACCAAAAGCAGGTTGGCTTCTCTTGTTCAAAACATACGCAGAATTCTTAAAATTCAACAATCAGCAAGCAAAAACAACCAGGTTTAAAATGAGCAGACTACAGACAAACGTGCACGAAAATGTGCGCACTGTCAGGTCTGGAGGTAACTGCCGATTACAGAAAGGCATCGTTATATAGTGACTGCAATGGCTGAACTCCTAAACAACCAAACTAAACTACTCTCACGGCCCACAGAGTCGATTAGGATTCAAGGCAGCCCTACAGGACTGGGCAGAACTACCCCAGGGGTTTCTGAGACGGTCAATCCTTACCGTCGACGGCCTCATCTCTCTCCTGGGAAACGCAGTACATAGCCACTACTTCCTCAGGCCTCTCTGCTACACTGCAGGGACCAGAAAGCCTCGTCTTTCCCCACAGCTCCCCAACCATCACTGTAAGTAAGGAGCTGAGACTGCGTCCACAAAGACTACACCCCAGAAGAGACGAGCCCACAGCTCGACCCTGCACTACCTGGGCCTGTGAAGATGTGCAGCCTGGGACACCCACACAGTTCGCTTTGCCTTGTCCAACGGGGTTCGCTGTGAGTCAGGGCCGCCTCGGGGCCAGTGAGTTTGTTTGGTTTGGTCTGGTCTGGTTGTTCCAATGACATGTCTTTACGTTAGCAGTCACCACCGAGGGGATGCGCAATGATCAACCAAGTGGGCAGGTTCTTTGCAACTGAACATACCCTGAGCGTGTGGCCAGCGATTGTGTTTCCTGGAATTTACTCATGAGGGCTGAAGAGCGACAGCCACACAGAAATGGCGCACAGATATTCCTATCAGCTTTATTCAAGACTGCCCACAGGAAGACAGCCAAGAGGTCCTTCCCCGGTGAAGAGATCAGCATGTGCGGTGCATCGAGAGGCTGAGCGATGGCTCAGCAATGCCGAGAAACTAGCAGCTCAACGTCATGAAAACACACAGCGAGACACGGAGGTTGCTAAGTGACAGCCCAGCCGTCCCTGTGGAAAAGCGTGGGCTGGGGGAGGGGGGCGCACTACCACGGATGGTGATGACACAACTCATTTTAAAAGTGACTCAACCCACAGATAGGAACTGGGAGTACAGTGAACCCAGGACAGATGATCCCCCCAGGACCACTGGACAGAGTGGCGATGGCGGGAGGGTGGAGGGAAGGAGAGGGAGAAAGGGGGAACAGAGGACAAGGTCTACATGTGGCCTCCTCCCTGGGGGACGGACAGTGGAGAATTGGGTGAGGGAGACGTTGGATGGGGTAAGATATAATAAAATAATAATTTATAAATTATCAGGGAGAGGGGGAATAGGCTGACATCAAGGGCTCAAGTGGAAAGCGGGTGTTGTGAGAATGATGAAGTCAACATATGGACTCATGTGCTGGACACAAATGACGTATGTACAGATTGTGGTAAGTTGTATGAGCGCTTAATACAATGGTTATTTAATTTTTTTTTTAAGTGACTTAACCACGGGAGGAAGAGTTCTAAAAATCGATTGTGGTGATGAATGTACAACTCTTCTTGGCGTGACTGAAGTGTTGAATTGTATGATGATGAGATTCATGGTGGGGGGGCAATAAAACTGTCACACACTCCCACCGTACACCATTCAGGGGAAGGAAAGAGTGTACAACCAGGGCTCCTCAAACTACGGCCCATGGGCCACATGCAGTCCACCAAGGATGTACCCGGCCCGCCGGGTGTTTTTGCCCCGTTTGTTTTTTTACTTCAAAATAAGATATATGCAGTGTGCATAGGAATTTCTTCAGTTTTTTTTTTTTTAAAACTATAGTCTGGCCCTCCAATGGTCTGAGGGACAGCGAACTGGCCCCCTGTTAAAAAAAAGTTTGAGGACCCCTGGTCTAGACCATCACAAAACCACTGGCTGCCAGATTTCAGGATAGAGGGGCTCATACAACTCCTACTTTCTACCACGGAGAAGCTGGTGCTTTCCAGCTGTGGACCATGACACGGCACGGCCATGCTGCCGCCAGGGCTGCTATGTGGCCAAGGGGCTTGGAGCACACTGAGATCTGTAGATCGAGACAGTGGATACACGAGACTGTTTGTGCTTCAAGTCCTAGCACACAGCGTGTCCCCTAATGTACACGTTTCTGTCAGTAATGCTGGATCCACCCTGGTGATCAACTGTCGTGCAAGTAGCCCGCAAGCAGAGGACCCTGTAACAGGGAAGGCCGAGTTCCAGGGCAGGAAGAAGTGGGGTCTACGTGAACAATGTCCGTTCCACGCAGTTCTTCTAAACTCGTAGAACTGCTCAAAAGTAGACAATCTGCTTATTCCAAAGACAGAAAGTCACAAAAGCTACAACATGGGAGGCCAATCTCAATGCGGTTTAAACCTGTCACAGCAACAGTCAGAGCACTCACTACTCCAAGGGCGGATGGCTCAGCAGTCAGTGAGGGCGCATTCCATCAGGTGCACACAGAGGAGGGGGGTATAGAAGCCCCAGGAAGAAAAGTCACTAACAGACAACGGAACGTTTCCATGAACTTTCTGAAGTCGATCGGAAGTACTGTGACTAGGGTTCAAGATCACACGTGACAGATTTATTCCACACCAAACACCCTTGTATGTGTTTCTGCCATCAGTCCTGGGCAGACGAGTCCTCTCGGTCACCTGCTGGTCTTGGGTAAGTGAAAGCACTTCTTGTGTGTGTGTGTGTGTGTGTGTGTGTGTGTGTGTGTGAAAGCACTTCCTGAACAAAAGTCCAACCCAAACAGTGGCTCCTCAGTGAAGGGCGAGTCCGGTTAAATTCAAGAAACGCATCTGCCCAAAGGGTGATGGCACCTGGTTTCTGGGATCCGAAAGGGGTAAGCTTGGCAGAGTTTCTCTAAGAATGCAGGACAATTATGGGGGCTTATGTTGTAAAAAATTCAAAACTGGACGGATGAGTTTACAGCCAAGACAGTTGCCAATGATGACTCAGTGCCTGACCACTCCTTCAGGGCCGTCAGAGCTGTACCATGAAGACTCTGGTTTGAAACCCGCCTCCTTCTGACTGCACAACCCTGCTCTTCCCCCTGCAGACTCCTTTTTCTTCCGCAACTTAAGGGATATTCAGGAAAGAGGTTTGAGTCCTGTTAGGCAGCAAAAATTGCTGTTTTAAGGGGGTGTAATTGAACACTACAGATCTCTTTGGAAAAGGATTAGACAGAAATACTACCTACATAGACGATATGTTGAAAAATCATAGTTTTGAATTTCACAAATCTGATCCAACAAAGCTTTCTATCAATACTTTTTGGCTTACCCTCATTTTTACATATTTACATGGGAATCTCTACGGGCCTTCTCCAAATTTCAGTAAGCTTTACATTAAGTCAGTTAAAATCAACATCTATTTGAGAAGCTTACACAAGCGGGCTTCAAAAAGTGGAATATTCCCATCTCGTTCAATTCTATTGTTCTAGGAATTATGTAGACACAAAACTTTAAAATTATCAGAAGAAATCATCTATAAATTTTCTTCCAGTGCAAACTAACAACTCGAGAACTTAAATACACACATTTCACATGTTGGACTTCTCTGCCAAAATCAAGCTCTTTCATTTTAGATGCTAATTCAAGATGATGGGGCACAGTCACAATTACAGGGATAAAATACCAACTCCAGCCATAGGTGGGAGCCCAAGACTTAGCCTGGGAGCCAGGCTCTGCTCACACTGAAAGCATCAGAGCACAAGCATTCTGTCCTGGAGGAGACTCAATCAATCAATTAATTAGCAAAAGGGACTGGAGACTTCACACCTGATGAAGCTGCACTTACTTTGCAACTTCAGACCTTTGGTGGCATCAGGGGACCACCCAGACCACCCAGGGCTCAAAACCAGTCAGGGCCCTGCCCTGCAAAGTCCCTCCCTCCTGTGAGCTGTAGCCTGCTGTGAGAGATGGAGCTGAAGCTTCAGAACTGCTCGTCAGAGAATCTCCTGTGCTGGAGAAACTCAAGCTAAGTGTTAAGAGATGGGACAGGGACTGCTCTGGAGGAGCTGCTCTCAGCCTCCACACCCAGAGCTGCTCCGCCCTCAGGCCCTGGGCAGGAGACTGACATTCAACACAGAGCACCCAGGGTGGGGTGTCCATACCTCACGGGGCCAGCTCTGAGAGTAACATGAGAAAGGCCGGCCAGCCAGATGTGACACTAGAAGGGACCAGTATGAGTGGAGCAGGGCCTCAGAATGCCTCCCAGGTCTTAGACCCGTGGTCTCCTCGGCCACGATCTTTATTCACGGAGAAGCCACAGCCCACAGCACACACCTGGTCCCCCAACCACTCATTTCCAGCTTCAGCCAGGGTAAGAAGACCCCAGTTCTTCACACGACTTACCATTTCTGTCCGCAGCTGCTGCAGGTCTAAGGGAACGCTGTCTCTAAGGCCAAGAAGCCACTCCGGGAAGAGCGCTGGGTCTGGAAGCAGAGAGCACCGGGCAGTGCGGGAGCAGATGAAGGTTTGGTGCACACACCAGGCTTCCCTGTGGAGATCCTTCCCTGGGGGTGAGACGCTGGCCAGCTGAAGACCCTGGGGCTCCAGCTGTCAGGGCTGGACTCTCTCCCTGCACCACACCGGAGATCTGCAATGGGGCACGGAGGAGAGGAAGCAGTGTCCAGTGAGATGGCGTTTGGCTTCCTTCCCGGCTCAGGGCAGTGATCCACACGGAGGACGTCTGCCCTGGAAGAACAGCCCCCACCTGCAGAGCACAGCCCCGCCTTCTCCATACAGCT